AGTTTTATTATCAAGCAAGATGTTTAAGTTCCGCAAGAGCACATCGAAAAAATGGCTTGTGATGCCTTAGATGGACATACGGACGAACATGTTCTACTTGGTTTAACGGTGATTAGAAATATAAATGCCTTATGCGGTCTCTGAGGCTTCCTTGCAAAACATTTTGACATGCCCCCTCGGGAGCTGAGCATAAATTCGAAAACTTTACGAAAGCCTTCAAGGTTCCACTTTCTATCTTTTTCTATTCCCATACGAGTCTTCCTAGACGACATTTCTACTTTTTGTTAAATATTTTTTTTTTTTCTTAAATATAAATTTTGACTATAGTTTGACTCGATCCTTAGGAAGGGATATTTAAGTTTCTTATTATAATAAATTTTATTATTTACATTTTTTAAGTTATATTCTTTTTGAATAATTTGCCATTGTTTGCATTTGTTCATTGATCCGTCCATAGGTTTTCTAAGTTTTTTCAAGTTCGGCAAATGTTAGAACTGCAAGTTCAGTTAAATTGATGAGAAAATTTTTTACAAACAAGGTTGAGCACGCAGTTCTCTGTATGTATTCTGGTTTGTATAATTTCCTGTTTCAAGGTTCTGCACATAACGCATATAACATTTTAATATGATTTGATATACAATATGACACGATACGATACGATAGTGTATATTACCTAGTGGTGGATATGAAAAAATTCTGCTACAACCGAAAACAATTTCTTTTTCCTTTTATTAAAAAGGGTTATAATGTTATTGTGTGTTTAATATAACAAAAAAATTACAGAAGAAATTAAATATGTTGAGAGATTCAATATTACTGGAATCTTTTATGGGTTTTACAAATATCTACCGCCTCTATGTCCATAGCTTAGCATAGGTATGTAAACAGAAACGATTGATTAAACTTCTTCTCGAGCCTAGGTACTGTATGGCTAGACGAGATAAGCACGACGCTAAGTCATTGAATTTTATTTCACTTCAATGTTATTGCGTTTAAGAAGGAATCCTTTTGTGTTTACCACTTTGCTTAGAGGTTTGCCTTCTGAAACCTCACAGAGCAGAGGGATCTGCTTAATTACCAGTAAGTAATCATAGTAAAAACTGCTTATGGTGAGCGATTGTATGCTGTAAAGTTTCTAGGGACGTGCACAACCTTGAGAAGGGACACTAGAATTATTCGGAATTATTGAATAACGTTTCGGTACTTAGGAACACCTGGCCATTATTCGCGATAAATTTTAATGGTCGTAGATTTAATAGGCGTACTTACGGGATACCGCCAGCTATTGTATCACTATCAGAACTGGCTAGAAATAGAAGGGAAGAAGTAAAAAAAACGCTACTTCGATGTCCATGATATTGATTTTTTTTTGTCGAGTACTTTGATATATGATAGTTTGTGTAGTTT